ATAGGCGGATTCATGCTGACGTCATTGTTTACATTTTTGCTCATTTGCATACGGCTTTGCGTAAAGAAGGAAGCATGTTAGATACAAATTGACTTCAGGCAGCTAAAGAGCTAGAAAACCTTAGTACATGGTGAAATTTTTAGCTCTTTGGGTGTAATATTCAAGGAGAAATAGTCCATCAAAAACTGCAAAATTTCTGGGTGGCAAAAGCGCTAATGAGCTCATACATTCTATGTAAAATTTCGAGTTTTTAAACCCGTGCACAAAAAGTATTCAATGCATCAAGCTCGTATTGATTGGCCGAGTTAATCGTACTTTGACCTTTCGATATTCAGAACTGATTTACTTTTAGCTCCATTAGTAACTGAGTTGCTTATGCTAATGAGGCAAATGTTGTAAACGAGGATTCCCCTATTAATTTCAAATCTGTCTTTTTTCAGTCACCTCTCAAGTTCTTCGGCCATGTATTCAGCATCCTCAAGTGCCGTCTCCATGTTCAACTTTGCTGCAGCCAACCTGTGGAAAGAAACAAGCGTGTTGACTGAAAAAGACGAATGCGGGAGTACAGTAGAATCACAGCACTTCAATGAGATGTTCAAGTTCAGTGACAAACACCTTTTCTCGTCCATGAATCAATGCACCGTACGAGGTTTTCTCCTCATTCGGTCTGTGATACACCTGCACATAAGAGGCAGGAGTAACCTATTTGAAAGAGCTCTGATAATCATTTGTGTCAAGTTAACAAAGTAACAGACTTAAGAAAAGTAACTCTAAACATAATGAATAAAGCGAACTATGCTCTAAATTAGTTAAGCGACTGAACACAACACAACCCGTTGATCTTTAGTAAAGCAGAAGGGAGGGAGACAGCCCAATGTCAGTTCGGTGGAAAACCGCGTGGAACTTCCGTATTGCATTGATATTCCAAGACAGGCAGTGTACCATAAAGTCGCATGACTTAGAGGTCTGTCACGTGTTTACCTTACATTCTTACCAATGTGAGGAGCGACGGAATACTTACACTGATTCAATGGCTGCTTTCTCCGATAAAATCTGGTCCTGAAAACCAAGCAGTAAACCAATGAATTTAAAAGCAATCATCGTCACAGCAATTTCGTTGGTTTCGCTGGAGAAAGTTGCCGTCATAGTTTTAGTAAAGTTTAACAAAGAACACACGTCCCTTTTGATTGTGAAAGTATCTTGAGTCGCTATAAAATGCTGGGAATTCTTTGTAGTGGAAGTTAAAGCTTCTCTAAACTTATACCGACCTTCAGCGCCATGGCACTTCTCTCTTTCTCGTTGGCTGTTTCTAATTGCTTCTGCTTCTCATCGGCTTCAGTTTTGAAATTTTCCTCTCTGAAAATGGCAAAACAGTAGGCTTGACAAAGGGTCCCTTCATAGTCCCCGAGAGAGAATGCCCTACGACCATTAGTGACAAATCCTCTTACGCAAGACTTTCCAGGCTCACTCGAGGCTCCCGGCATTCACCAAACAGTCATTACAGGAAAAAATAGCTTTCAAGCGAAAGAGAACGTGAATGCACTCCGACAGCTATGTGCTAAGTTTCAATTTTTGATTTTTGGTGGCTTGCGATATTCATAAAAAAGATCCATGAATCAGTTTGCTCTCAGGTTGCGTGGCATACCGCTAATTAAATATCAAACAGTCATGATCCTTATGAGAATACCAACAAAAAAACCTTTATTTTCTAAGCAATCTTGAAAATTATCTCAGGAAAGTTATTTTAGCGCTTGATCTGCACGAGTGATTCGCTTTCAGTGACCGTTCGCTACAATAAAAATAGGCCGTTGGGACTCAGAAAAGGGCTTAAAAGAGGCGACCGCTTAATAGAGGTTGACTGTATTAACATACGGTTTCTCTAATTAACATTAAAACCATCGTATTTACTTTTCTCTAGCTTCGTTCCTCTCAGCCTCCAATTGATAGGTGAGTGTTTTACAGTGTGTTTCCAGTAGGTCGTTATTTCTTCTAAGTTCAACCATCTCCTCCACCTGACCTCGTAGTAATTCCATCTCTTCAATTCTTTCTTGACGATGAGCCTCCAAGTTATCGATCACTTTTGACATACTGAACTACAAGAAATAAGTCTAAGTATAGGCGTAACTGCAAAAAATAGATTACAATTTGTCGTGATGGGACTCAGAAAAAACAAAAAGCAGCGGTAAAAAGGCGAGTTTGTCGCTTCATACAAATGCTCTCTTCCTTAATGTGAACGAGGCCCACAGTCCCACTAGGACACATGCTTGTAACATATTCATTTATCGGGGAGGAAAATCTTTCTGCATTTTATTTTGACCAAGTGTATTTCCGTTTGATAAGTACCTGTTTGGTTCGTAGTTTGTCCAGCTCAGCTTCATGTGACTCAATCATACCAGATGCGTCAAGTGACTCGTTCAAATGTTGAAACTGATTCAGCCGACTCTCGTACCGAGACTCCAAGTCGACCATAGATTGTTCCATTTCACGAAGCTGCAGAAACATTACTAGAAGTGAGCCGGTCAATGATTAGACAGACGACTCCGCGCGATTTAAATCTCTTTCTCTCAAAGAATTACTTGCTCTTCGTATAGCTGGGCTGGGGAAAAACTACAACGTTGTAGTGGCGACCAAACAAAATTTACTCTTCCAACTGACAGCTTAATTAAGCTTCGTATTTTATGAATCATTCGGAAAGCCTCGATCGTTCTGGGTAAAGCTGGAGAAATCGGGACAGTTTCATGGAAACCAAGCTGAACAATCGTCAACTACTCTTACAATGGGGATGCTAATAAAAATAAATAAAAGAAATAATAATAATAATAAACAGTTTTTAACGTGGAGAAACACTTAGCTAGAAGCTAGTTTACAGGTTTTCCACCAAAGAACTGAAACAAATAATTCAAATTGAAAATAACATTATTAAGAATCCCAACTGGCCGAAGGCAAACCAGTTGGCTATATTACAAGCATGGCCGAGGATTTGAAACTCGGGGCTACCGTGAAACAAATCCAGGTAGTGGCCAGGGCGGGACTTGAACCCACGACTAGCAGGCCGAGTTTCTGTTTGTATCCATTATTGTCGCGAAATGTATTATTTTTCCCCGCACTAGCAATGGCCGCTCGCGCGAAAAAAAAATTCTGGCAAAGTCGGATTTGCTGACGCTATCAGCGTGCACTATCGGGATTTTGAGCACGCTTACGTATAATGAATTTGATTGCGCGACTCTGCTAGCTATGTTCTAATTCCATTTTATCACCTGAATCATATCATTTCAAACACAAGGAATATACCGTTAAACTTAGAGAACGTTTTCTTCTTTAATGCAAAGAGCAGACTTGCAAACAGGTGAAAGTGAACTTTTGGTAACGTCTGTGAAAGAGTTACCACGTTGGGGGAAAAATCTCTGAAAATAATTTACGAAATATTCTTTAATGGGTCCAATTGAAACTTTAAAAAGAGCACAAATAGAACAAGTCCATGACGGCGCGAATTCTCTTCCAATGACCCTTTCAATCGTACTTGGAACATTATCAATGAGGGCATTTATTTTTAATTCAAGGCAAACAAAAGATCACTGATACATGACACCCAATCATGGCCAATTGCGTTGGAGACAATTTTTCAGTGCTATAATAAATGAAAATTCCCTCAGAAAATTTCTTTATGGAGTCAAGTTGAGTATCTAAAGGTAGCAGCAGCTAAACCTTAATGGAACGTTAGCTCTGTGAGATCTCTCCTGCCAAATTGTTTTTGGCAAAGCTTATAAATAAATAAATAAAAAATTATTTAAACCAACCTAATAACTTAAAACTAGCGTAAACCAAATTCTCTTACCTTGTTTTCTGAGGTCACTACTGTAGTCGTCTTTTCTTTCAAATCAGACTGTGTTTAAAAAATGGACATTTGATTATTCAGGGAATGCAAGTCCTTCACACAATAAATGACATCTATTCTTCTGTTTCTACCGCTTTTATTTACTATCCATCCCTTAGGTACTGACTCAGTATAAACTGTTGAAGCCCTTTCCTCGATTATATTCATGACATTTCACAGAAGCATGGGCCTTGGTTGTTTGAAAACGCCGTGAAGCATATGAAGATTGTTTTAATAAAAAATTATGAATTCATGTAAAGAGTAACTCTTAACGAACGCTAACAAGGCATTACATCCAAAGACTTCTTTCCCGCCAATGTCTCTTCTAACGGCAGTCAGGACGCCAAAAGTTGTTATTTGCGGTAGAATTCGCGTTTATTTTATGGAAATATCACGAAAGGCAATTTGATGGGATTGGGAACTACAGTTTACGTTGTCATCTCGTACATCACAATATCCAAATAAACCCTGTAATTACAACCCTCTTTTAACGTTAAAATGGGCAAGGGACGGGTCTCTGTTTTTCATTCATTCTGTCTGTCCAATATTGATGACTCCTCCTGTTTAATAATCTGATCTTTGATGACCTACAGAGTTGTGCGCTCTTTCTGACCGCTCATTGGCTACTTCGAAATTAGATGACGTCAACAGAAGAGGAGGAATGGGGTGTGGGAAGTGTTGTCGCGATCAACTGCATTACAAAAAATTCAACAAGAACAAACATTCTTGGAAACTCAATGTTTGCAATGTGATGTATTTGATTTATACATACAAGTACGACTGCATCTACGTTAACAACACCGTAATGTTCAATACAGTGCATCGACTCAAGAGTCGTGCAGTTTTGTTTACTCTTAACAATGTAAATCGGATTACAAAATACGGGCACTGCAAGTGGCCATTTTACATTCGAGGTCTCTGGAACCTCAAAATCATGTTGAGGAAAGAGTGGTGTTTTCTATTGTCATTGCTTTATTCGTGACGTACTCGTTTAGTAAGCTTTGTGTCGTCTTACTTCTCGCCCCTAAATGATGGCTGAAACACGACGATGGAAATCCATTTGGTGTAAAAATATCAGTACAACTTTGACGCTGCATTTGAAAACGTTGAATGTAGATATAAAAGAGAATCTATTTAATGAATGTCACACTGATTCGGGAGCTTACAAACATTGAGCTGGGCATGAGCTGGGCATGAGCTGACGCACGGTGAGAGACAAAGCAGCCCTGACTGGCATTTGCCGGATATAAATAATCATTTCCTACAAGCCTTTATACAAAGAGACCAAATATAAAACCGATGAACACCATAAGCACACCGTAGCCACGGCTTTAGTAAAATATTTCTTAGTTGTATATTTGTACAAGTTACCTTGGATCAATATATTAAATATTGTGTAAAAAATACCTTGCGTTCTTCGTATAATATTTAAAACCCACGTATGAATAATGGACTGTAAAAGACCTTTTAGGAATAAACTGACGGAACACCTTTATACCAATTGATCAAAACTTCAGTTCCGTGTTCTTGGATCAGAGATTGTGAGGCGATACTCTTCCTGTTATACTTTATGGATCCACATACAAAACAGTACAAGAGCTCCGAGAGCAACTTCTGAGTCTTAGTTGTTTGATAGATGCAACATATATATTCGCCAGTAAAAAGGATAAGATAAATAGATTGATAGTTGGATAGATCTACACCAAATAAAATCAATAAAAACTTTTGAGGTACGTAGCAGTTAAGAATGCAGAAAGATGAAAGTGATGTGCTCGAGATGCGTCCGACAGTAAAAACTAAAAATAACAACCCTAGCCAGAAGCAAAAATAAAAGTCACATCATAAATAGAAGGCTTATAAATAGACACTTAAAATAAGAAGGCTTATAAGTGGCCTTAGTTTTGAACGGTGGAAGAATGTTAATAGCAGAAAACCAAGTTGAATGATGGTGAATCTTTTAAACCATCCCAACGCGCCGATAACGTCAGATCCGGGATCTTCACATAGGCGCTGGATTAAGCGACGTACGTTGCATAAGTGGGAAATTGTGTCAAGAAGAATACATCCGGGATCTATGTCAGCTGATAGCCTTGAACCAGAAGAACAGAGGGAAATTAGTTGAGAGGCTCAGAAAGGAGTGGTGAGTTAAGGCCCAATTTAAAGAGGTGATGCAGTCCAAGTCAAATTAAACTTTTAAAAAAGAAATGTCCGCTCAGGTAAGCCATAGCTGAGGGGACAAAACTGTCGCGGATAAAATAATAAAAAATTTGCTCTGAAAAGGCTCCAAAGAGAACCGTTACTCAGAGTTCGTATGATAAAATAACTTTAAAAGCCACAAGTTGTGACAAAATCCAAAATCATCATTTTTGGATGATTGACACTCAAAAGCACTCTCTTGTGATTGGGCCTTTCACTATTCACGGCGTGAAAACAGCGCCTAAAAGCACTCGCCGTACAGTTAAGTACAGAGTACAGCTAGAAACTGAAACATTGGGAAAATGTTAAAAACAACTTTTAAGGCTTATAAAATATAAAATAAAGACATAAATATTTCTTTGGGAAGAACCATCAAAAGCCATCTAAACTGGGGTGTAAGATAGCGCTGAAAAGCACTCCCCAGTGCGGATCAACTTTCCATAAAAACAAAGAATTTAACATTACGAGAAGTTTAGCGTTGTGGGGCCGGCTAGTCAAAAACACTAACACGTTAAAACAGAAAGGGCCTGTATAACAGTGCCTAAAAGCACTCCCTTCCCCATAAAGCTCACGTTGGCCAGTTTAGTGGTTCACTGGTAGCAAGTTACGCACACCCAGGTGTAAATGTCCTCGAACTACAACTGCTGGTTAATCCTTGACAAGCGAAATCTTGACATCACCCAGGCTTGAGGGATAGTCCGCTTTGTTTCTGCATGCCACAGAACACCTTCAAGTCTACAAAAATGTTGATCCTTCAGCTTCCTTACGATAGCTTTCCAAACTGTAGGCAAATTGTGTTCCTAAGCTCCTTACAACGCATATTTGAATTTGAACAGTCATCGGAAAAGTTGCCATAGCCTTACTCCTTAAAATTTCTGGCTTAGTCACAATAGTGCGAAGAAGCTCTTAAAGCACCCACATGAACTATTCAGTTTAGAGTGAATTTTATGTTTAAGAAATAAATTGTAACTCACTTGCAAAGATGTTATCTGTTGCTGTTGTTGAGCCAGAGCCTGGGTAAGTTCTCTGTACTGCTCGGTGGTACGACGAAGATCGTCTCTCAATTGACTCATCTGCAATAACAAGAAATTAGTGAGTATACTTGTTCATTCATTATTAGCTTATAATTAAGCAGCTTTTCGTTTCACAACACTCTATTGGCTGTAAGAAGCTTGTCAAATTTAAAGAGTGACAACTTACCTCAGTTTCGCGATCCAATCTTTCCTTGTTAAACTTCTCCGTTTCTCGGTCAAGTTTGTCCTTCAATTTCTCGATGGTTCGTTTCTGATGAAAAGAATGGCATTCGCGTTAGCTTCGCCTTAGTACACTAACAAACCCATCGAAGTCCTCAACAACCCCAATGTAAACAGTCAACAACACTTAACCTTTTCTTCTATACTATCTGTCAACTCCTGTTGCTGAAGTTTACTCTCCTCCAATTGATTTCGAACAAACGAGAGTTCGCTCTGTAGAAAATAACAAGTAAGAAATCAAGCACAGTCCCATTTTTTCACATACGAACAAACGACAAAAATGATTTCTCTGTCAGGTAGAAGATAAGAAACCTTCAGATATAGACGAATTGAAGGGACGCGGCGACGACAAGATGATCAACAATTAAAATATCACCTTTTTAGCAAATCAATGTGCAAGTGGCATGTGCATTTGCAAAGTGACGGAGGAATGTTTATAGACAAAACAATATCTCACCTCTTTCTCGCCAAGGTTTTTCTTCAGACCCTTGACAGACTCCATTAAATTGTTCACACAATCCTTAAGGAGGGAAAATAAACAAGTTATTTTTCGTTATCAATAAATATTCCAACAAACTTCCAGGAAAGCAAAACAAGAGACAAGTTACTTACGATGTCGGATTCGTTTCGTTTGTTTAACGTTCTAATGCTGGTCTTTGCTTCATCAAGTTCTTCTGATAAGGAATGTATTTTCTGAGCCTGTGAAGACAACAACAAATATCCCATTAGTGGTGTGGAATTAAATCAGATTTAGTATAAAATTGATAAAAGGTACAGAATTTTATCTTATTGGTACACTACACTGAATGCTCCATTTCAAGGAACACATCCACTACCGAAAGTTTGTTTGGCCAATAAGTTAGATTTTAGCAAAAGAGTTTTTCCTCATCCTCCCCACACGCACGCACGCACGCACGCACACACACAGACACACAAACCCCTTCCCCTCTCGGTAGGAATTTACTCTCTCCCCAACCTTCCTCAGCGAAAGAATACAACATGGCGGCCAGCTATTTGGCGCAAGCTGTCTCACCTGTTGTTCGCATGTCAAGTTGCTTTCTTGCAGCTCTGTCCTCAAGGCCACAAGCTGTTCCAGAGCCCTCACCATATCCTACAATAAAATGCGATAAGTAATCAAGTGTTAATAACTCGCCAAGATACGTTACTGTTAATTACAACGTATCTTACCTGTTGTTTATCTTGTTGAGCCAGCAACTTGTTATTTGTCTCGGTTTGAATGTCCAATTTATCCATAGTTCCCTGAAAACAAAAGACAGAAATATCTAACAAACTACCTCAATATATCATGATAACTGCAAATGATTTTGATATCTTTGCTACTATTGATGATTGCGGCAGTGTAATCAGAGGCAAACTTATACCGAGGGGCTACTCTTTCCTGTGCACCACTTGTAGTGCGAGAAACGATGGAGATGAAATGCGGGGAGGTGCAAACATGTCTAACCCTAACTTATTGCTTTTGTACCTGCAATTCTTGTCCCATTTCCTTGAGTCTCTGTCTTTCTGCTTGTAACATGCTCTCGAACTCTTCAATTTTGTGATTCTTGAATTCCAGTTCATCGCGAAGTGTCTCTACATCAGCCTAAAGCAGATCATACAACCAAGTTACACGTAAAACACCAACCAGCTTTGCGACGGCAGTCTTAATTCTCTCAATGCAAAAATTCATCAGTAGACTAAGCTCGCTGTCTCTACCCATTCCCTCTCCTCCCCCGGCAGTGAATGGCAAGTCCGGGGACTGGGTAACACAAATATTGCGATCCTTACCTGTAGGTGTTGGTTCATCTCTATTGAGCTTTCCATTTCTGTCTGTTGATTATAGTTCTCTATTTCAAGCCTTGTTAACTGAAAGCAAACAAACAAAGTAATAAAGTAATTAACTTCTATGAAAAGTGCGGTGCTGCATCTTTAGGCGATTGAAATAACGGCCGTTTGATATTCGACTATGAAGGCAGGTGTATCATGTTGTTTTCTTAGGCGTTGTTTTCTTACTTTCTATGCCTGATTATCAATGACGACACACACACACACAGACACACACACACACACACACACACACACACACACACACACACACACACACAAACTCAGAGAATAGATAAGATTTGTGTTTACTATACCTTACTCTCTAATGTGGCAAGTCTTCTACCAGACTCAATACTTTCCATGTCTCGCTCCTTCTTCAGCGAATCAACTTGTCTTTGAGAAGCTTGCAATGAGCACTTCACATCCTCTATTTCACTTCGAAGGACTGCATCAAAATCAGCAATAAATGTTAGTATTTCATACACAGTAATATGGTCTGGCGTGTTTGTAATAAGTTCATCTTCCCGTAATAATGGCAGAAAAAACTACCTTTGAAAAAAAATTTAACATACCAGTTAGCTCTCCCCGGGCCTCCTTCAGCTTGTCAGCTAGACCCAAGCTCTTCATGTTCAGCTCGGTCTCAGTTGCAGCATGCTTTTCCCGCTCACTGCTTAGAACCTAAAAGAAAATATAACGAATTCTTATTTGCTTTCATAACCTTAAAAAAAGGTTCAAGAAAGGGGCAACTCAAAGTTGCTTACAGTTCACCTTCTCTTGCCCCCAAAATAGATAACTGCTTAATTAGCACAAATAATACATCAACATGTTAAATTCAAAGGTCAAAAACAATAACATCAATGAAATAACCATGGTTCTATTTTTAAAGGAACGAGAATCTGAGAGTTAAAAGAATACTTAAGCCCATATGGAGTCTGATTGGACGTTGATACACACGATCTGATCGCGGAACAAAGCTACCTCGCCCAGAAGTTCATTGTACCCAGGCAATAATCAATACTGTGGGGGTTTTGCAGTTCAACCCCTTGTCGAACACAGATTCTTTCTACCAATAATATTCTGTTAATATTAATCTCAGTGGTTAGTGACCCACCGTTGTGAGATTCTGCACTTGGTGTTCAAGCTTGGTGACGGTCTGATTCAGTCGAATTCTTGTCGCCTCTTCTGTTTGAAGCTGTTGTAACTGGACATTATTCATTTCCTGAGAAACGCCACGAAAATAAATAAAATAACCATTGAACTATGAGCTGGTACTACGCTTCACGACTCCAAAAAGCGAGTTTCAAATGATCATCAAGAGTAAACCGGATGACTTGGGTTTCACTTCAGTATGATTTTGATTGGTTTAAAAAGAAATTCTCGTCCCCGGGAGGATTCCAAGGTGTAAAACTGTATTTCCAGTTTTCATTAGCCTCTTACGATTTTGATATTCCTTTCTACTGGTTGGTTTTTACAATTACTTTGATCTTGGTTTTACGAAACTCAAAGCAAAGGCACTAAAGGTATGTGAAGGTAAAAGACCATGAAAAAACGACAACTAAGGTTATACTTAGCCTTTCTATACGAGATGACTTTCCTTTTTGGCATTTCCCACTGTTACTAATTCCTTTATTCACCTGCTGCTTTTTGAGCTCCTCCAAAAGTGACTCAGTATAAAGTTCCTCGTCATCCATCTCTTCGGAGTCAAAATTGAAGAAGGGATCGTCCATTTCACTGTCTGATCCAATATCGTGGAAGCTGTCTCTTCTTATCAATCCATTCTGTGCTTTGGGTTTCTCATCAGGTGTTGTTATCACAGGAGTGGACAGTTTGGACTTTCGGGTGACGGCTGGTGACCGTTTAGGAGTGCTTGCTGCGCTGCGAGGACTCAGTCGGTTGGGCGTGTTCAGAATTTTACGAGGGGAGGTAATACTCTGAAGAGAGAAGGTTTACAATTCAGTAAGGTGTGAGTAAAGAAATGACGCTAGAACCGCACATCAAGGCGGCCCTTTTACTCCAAATATCACAGAGAACTAAACTCTAAGGAAAAAGCTGATTTAACACGAGCTACTAGAGGTCTGCTACTCTACAGGTTTAAGGTTAACCTCCTCTCACTGAGACCTCAACAAACTGGTTCTACAGCAGAATATTTGGTTTTATCAACTGAGTTCAAAATGTAAATTGGCCACTGCCGCGCTATATGCTATCTCACCTTGATTGTTTGCATGTGGATGTCATTTAATGTCGTACGCTCCACTGCTGTTTTAAGTTGATGAGCTTCCAGTGCTCTCTGTAAAATCAACCAACATTCATTTTAGAATAAAAATGAAACACTTTCAGGATCTGGAGACAACAGTTTTCAATGTTGGCTTTGTATGAAACGTACTGTCACTCTATAATCTTAGCATAGGGCACCATTGGACATCTGACTGTAGTTGGATCTTACCTCTAGTTCAGAGTTGGCTTTTCTGAGCGACAAAACATCAGCTTCTAAGTCAATGCATTTCTTTCTAAAGCTCTCCTCTTGTCCTACGAGTTTTTCCTTCGTCTGTTGTAAACTCTCACGGGTTTCTGTCAGTTCCTCTCGAGTCTTGGATTGAAAAAATTAATAAAATCTAACTTCTGCAATAATTAACTAGTGCATCTGACTGAATTTACCCAAGAATAGCAGTGTCAGAGAGACAGATAACACAAAGAATCGACAGAAAATAACAATAAAAAAATTGATCATTTCCATAACTTACCGATTCCATTTGAGCGTGTAATTGCGCTCGCTCGAGCTTGAACTTTTCGAGTTCAGCATTCGATGCTTCCAGGTTAAGTAAAGAGTTGGATAAACTTCTCTCAAGTTCTGCAATGTAAGTAGGTGAAAAGAACAAAGTCAACAAAACTGCAAAGTACTGCAAATCCACATCACACTTTTGGGAACGTTGCCATTACTGACACTTCGTCTCTCGAAGGAAAAGGTTCGCTGGACGACTATTGCCGCAGATAGAATTTCGTTACTCGAGTAACAGGGCTGCAAATAACGGCCGGTCAACGGCAATGTCCGGCCAAAATTGGATACTGACCGGACAAATCCTTGGTTTGCCGGACATCTTGTCCGGTCCTTTACCGACTCGTTCAAAGAGATTTTAATTTTTAACTGTTCGCTAATCACAAGGGAAACAGTCATGTTTCCAAAAGAAAAAAAAAAACAATATAAAAGTAGACAAATTAGTGGTCGAGAAATTCCCGCCAGTCGCAAATTTCCGCGATGTCATCAAGTCCTGTCGCGACCGCAAATCATCGTGTTTTCCGTTGTTTTTTTACTTTATTTAAGTGTTCCCAGTTAGTAGAGGGTTTTACCTTTGGCTAGATACCATCATTTACTCTCAAATAAAGTGATTGATTGTTTAATCGATTGAATGATAGCACCCTCACGAAGAATAATCTTGTTGCATCGAGAATACTCCAAGTAGCATTTGTTGCAAAGTGCAAAAAGCGAGCAAAAGGCCCAAAACCTGGAGAATCCGACCACTCTTTTACTCTAACAAAAATTCACAAATGTAACTTTAAAAAAAAGGGCTCCGAGTGTAATATTTAATTATAAGTGATTTTGCCAGATGTAAAATAAAACGGACAATTGCGGTTGTATCGTGCGTAACCGTTCCACGTACTCAATGCGAGGCTGCTTCTGCAGTAAAGAGTAGTAAAATTATTGACTTGTAATTTTTATTG